GAGGGCTGTGAGACTTTGACCTGAGTGCAAAAATGGAGGCTCTAGACCCTTCCAGAGCTGAGATATCAAAATTCAAAATTTCGACCCGAAAAAAAAACGACAGTGTTACCCCTTTCGTTTTTTTTCATTTTTGGGCGAAAAATTAAGTTTCTCCAATCTTCTCAAAACTCTGGATTATGATAGAGGGCTGTGAGACTTTGACCTGAGTGCAAAAATGGAGGCTCTAGACCCTTCCAGAGCTGAGATATCGAAATTCAAAATTTCGACCCGAAAAAAAAACGACAGTGTTACCCCTTTCGTTTTTTTTCATTTTTGGGCGAAAAATTAAGTTTCTCCAATCTTCTCAAAACTCTGGATTATGATAGAGGGCTGTGAGACTTTGACCTGAGTGCAAAAATGGAGGCTCTAGACCCTTCCAGAGCTGAGATATCAAAATTCAAAATTTCGACCCGAAAAAAAAACGACAGTGTTACCCCTTTCGTTTTTTTTCATTTTTGGGCGAAAAATTAAGTTTCTCCAATCTTCTCAAAACTCTGGATTATGATAGAGGGCTGTGAGACTTTGACCTGAGTGCAAAAATGGAGGCTCTAGACCCTTCCAGAGCTGAGATATCAAAATTCAAAATTTCGACCCGAAAAAAAAACGACAGTGTTACCCCTTTCGTTTTTTTTCATTTTTGGGCGAAAAATTAAGTTTCTCCAATCTTCTCAAAACTCTGGATTATGATAGAGGGCTGTGAGACTTTGACCTGAGTGCAAAAATGGAGGCTCTAGACCCTTCCAGAGCTGAGATATCAAAATTCAAAATTTCGACCCGAAAAAAAAACGACAGTGTTACCCCTTTCGTTTTTTTTCATTTTTGGGCGAAAAATTAAGTTTCTCCAATCTTCTCAAAACTCTGGATTATGATAGAGGGCTGTGAGACTTTGACCTGAGTGCAAAAATGGAGGCTCTAGACCCTTCCAGAGCTGAGATATCAAAATTCAAAATTTCGACCCGAAAAAAAAAACGACAGTGTTACCCCTTTCGTTTTTTTTCATTTTTGGGCGAAAAATTAAGTTTCTCCAATCTTCTCAAAACTCTGGATTATGATAGAGGGCTGTGAGACTTTGACCTGAGTGCAAAAATGGAGGCTCTAGACCCTTCCAGAGCTGAGATATCAAATTCAAAATTTCGACCCGAAAAAAAAACGACAGTGTTACCCCTTTCGTTTTTTTTCATTTTTGGGCGAAAAATTAAGTTTCTCCAATCTTCTCAAAACTCTGGATTATGATAGAGGGCTGTGAGACTTTGACCTGAGTGCAAAAATGGAGGCTCTAGACCCTTCCAGAGCTGAGATATCAAAATTCAAAATTTCGACCCGAAAAAAAAAACGACAGTGTTACCCCTTTCGTTTTTTTTCATTTTTGGGCGAAAAATTAAGTTTCTCCAATCTTCTCAAAACTCTGGATTATGATAGAGGGCTGTGAGACTTTGACCTGAGTGCAAAAATGGAGGCTCTAGACCCTTCCAGAGCTGAGATATCAAAATTCAAAATTTCGACCCGAAAAAAAAACGACAGTGTTACCCCTTTCGTTTTTTTTCATTTTTGGGCGAAAAATTAAGTTTCTCCAATCTTCTCAAAACTCTGGATTATGATAGAGGGCTGTGAGACTTTGACCTGAGTGCAAAAATGGAGGCTCTAGACCCTTCCAGAGCTGAGATATCAAAATTCAAAATTTCGACCCGAAAAAAAAACGACAGTGTTACCCCTTTCGTTTTTTTTCATTTTTGGGCGAAAAATTAAGTTTCTCCAATCTTCTCAAAACTCTGGATTATGATAGAGGGCTGTGAGACTTTGACCTGAGTGCAAAAATGGAGGCTCTAGACCCTTCCAGAGCTGAGATATCAAAATTCAAAATTTCGACCCGAAAAAAAAAACGACAGTGTTACCCCTTTCGTTTTTTTTCATTTTTGGGCGAAAAATTAAGTTTCTCCAATCTTCTCAAAACTCTGGATTATGATAGAGGGCTGTGAGACTTTGACCTGAGTGCAAAAATGGAGGCTCTAGACCCTTCCAGAGCTGAGATATCAAATTCAAAATTTCGACCCGAAAAAAAAACGACAGTGTTACCCCTTTCGTTTTTTTTCATTTTCGGGCGAAAAATTAAGTTTCTCCAATCTTCTCAAAACTCTGGATTATGATAGAGGGCTGTGAGACTTTGACCTGAGTGCAAAAATGGAGGCTCTAGACCCTTCCAGAGCTGAGATATCAAATTCAAAATTTCGACCCGAAAAAAAAACGACAGTGTTACCCCTTTCGTTTTTTTTCATTTTTGGGCGAAAAATTAAGTTTCTCCAATCTTCTCAAAACTCTGGATTATGATAGAGGGCTGTGAGACTTTGACCTGAGTGCAAAAATGGAGGCTCTAGACCCTTCCAGAGCTGAGATATCAAAATTCAAAATTTCGACCCGAAAAAAAAACGACAGTGTTACCCCTTTCGTTTTTTTTCATTTTTGGGCGAAAAATTAAGTTTCTCCAATCTTCTCAAAACTCTGGATTATGATAGAGGGCTGTGAGACTTTGACCTGAGTGCAAAAATGGAGGCTCTAGACCCTTCCAGAGCTGAGATATCAAAATTCAAAATTTCGACCCGAAAAAAAAACGACAGTGTTACCCCTTTCGTTTTTTTTCATTTTCGGGCGAAAAATTAAGTTTCTCCAATCTTCTCAAAACTCTGGATTATGATAGAGGGCCACGAGACTTTGACCTGAGTGCAAAAATGGAGGCTCTAGACCCTTCCAGAGCTGAGATATCAAATTCAAAATTTCGACCCGAAAAAAAAACGACAGTGTTACCCCTTTCGTTTTTTTTTCATTTTTGGGCGAAAAATTAAGTTTCTCCAATCTTCTCAAAACTCTGGATTATGATAGAGGGCTGTGAGACTTTGACCTGAGTGCAAAAATGGAGGCTCTAGACCCTTCCAGAGCTGAGATATCAAAATTCAAAATTTCGACCCGAAAAAAAAACGACAGTGTTACCCCTTTCGTTTTTTTTCATTTTCGGGCGAAAAATTAAGTTTCTCCAATCTTCTCAAAACTCTGGATTATGATAGAGGGCCGTGAGACTTTGACCTGAGTGCAAAAATGGAGGCTCTAGACCCTTCCAGAGCTGAGATATCAAAATTCAAAATTTCGACCCGAAAAAAAAAACGACAGTGTTACCCCTTTCGTTTTTTTTTTCATTTTCGGGCGAAAAATTAAGTTTCTCCAATCTTCTCAAAACTCTGGATTATGATAGAGGGCCAAAATGCAAAAACAGTGGTACTCCTTTCGTTTTTTTTTTTTCGTCGAAAAATTAAGTATCCCCAATCTTCTCAAAACTCTGGATTCTGATAGAGGGCCATGAGACTTAGACCTGAGTGCAAAAATGGAGGCTCTAGACCCTTCCAGAGCTGAGATATCGAAACTCAAAATTTCGACCAGAAAAAAAAACGACAGTGGTACCCCTTTCGTTTTTTTTTTTTCGGCGAAAAATTAAGTATCCCCAATCTTCTCAAAACTCTGGATTCTGATAGAGGGCCATGAGACTTAGACCTGAGTGCAAAAATGGAGGCTCTAGACCCTTACAGAGCTGAGATATCGAAACTCAAAATTTCAACCAGAAAAAAAAAAACGACAGTGGTACCCCTTTCGTTTTTTTATTTTCGGTGAAAAATTAAGTATCCCCAATCTTCTCAAAACTCTGGATTCTGTTAGAGGGCCACGCGACTTAGACCTGAGTGCAAAAATGGAGGCTCTAGACCCTTCCAGAGCTGAGATATCGAAACTCAAAATTTCGACCAGAAAAAAAAACCACAGTGGTACCCCTTTCGTTTTTTTTTTTTTCGGGCGAAAAATTAAGTATCCCCAATCTTCTAAAAACTCTGGATTCTGATAGAGGGCCATGAGACTTAGACCTGAGTGCAACAATGGAGGCTCTAGACCCTTCCAGAGCTTAGATATCGAAACTCAAAATTTCGACCAGAAAAAAAAAAACGACAGTGGTAACCCTTTCGTTTTTTTTTTTTTTTTGTGCGAAAAAATAAGTTTCTCCAATCTATTTGAAACTCTGGATTCTGATAGAGGGCCATGGGACTTAGACCTGAGTGCAAAAATGGAGGCTCTAGACCCTTCCAGAGCTGAGATATTGAGATATTTATAATGGCATAAATGCTACGTGGGATCTCAATATCTCAGCTCTGGAAGGGTCTAGAGCCTCCATTTTTGCACTCAGGTCTAAGTCCCATGGCCCTCTATCAGAATCCAGAGTTTCAAGAAGATCAGAGAAACTCAAAATTTCGACCCCAAAAAAACGACAGTGTTACCCCTGTTATTTTTTTTTTGTGTGTGCGAAAAAATAAGTTTCTCCAATCTTCTTGAAACTCTGGATTCTGATAGAGGGCCATGGGACTTAGACCTGAGTGCAAAAATGGAGGCTCTAGACCCTTCCAGAGCTGAGATATTGAGATATTTATAATGGCATAAATGCTATGTGGGATCTCAATATCTCAGCTCTGGAAGGGTCTAGAGTCTCCATTTTGAATGGATCAGAATCCAGAGTTTCAAGAAGATTGGAGAAATGTATTTTTTTGCACAAAAAAACGACAGGGGTACCACATGGCCCTTTATCACAACCCAGAGTTTCAAGAAGATCAGAGAAACTCAAAATTATATGTTCTTTTGGCCGGAAGTTATTTTTCTTTATGAAGTTTTAAATATGGATATTCTTCCTCATTACTCATTACTCTACATAAAGTCGATATCTGGGATATTTTCATCAGCTATATGTTCAAGCACTTCAGAACGGTATATTCTGCACGTGAAAAAGTTTGAAAAATGTATCGGTACTGTGATATATATATATATTTTTTTATAAAATAAATTTCAATCAGCATTACTGAAAATGTGAGTAACAGGCTTTCAAACCTACTGTCCATTCTAATGGTCAGACACATTTAAAAAAATTCAGATTTAAAACGTGCAATTCTACAGTCGATTTTTATTAAGTTCTTAATATTTAATAAGATCTTTATATTTTACATACAAACTATGAAATACTGGCAAAAAAATATACAAAATGTAAATACACCTTAGAAAATGTTGCTTTAGAAAATGTTATGAAATGTGCTATTTGGGACAGAGCCAAACTTAGGCAGTGGGTGGTTTCAGAATTTGCAGAGTTTTCATCTGTCAAATTTGTATGCATATTCTCTACATTGACATTCCAACACACTTGAATATTTAAGTCATATCTATTAAACTGATTACTTGCAAAACTGTTTTGTGATTTATATTGAAAATAGCATTTCAATGTTGGATCTGTATTTTACAGACCATAGTATTCATGCAGTGATTAATAAAAATGAAAAGATTCAGATATGGGAAATGTTTACCTTAATCTCCACAGAGAATATGTTAATATAACATTATTAAAGAGTTTGACAATAAATTGCTTATTTATAGTTTGTTATAATTAACTCTAAGAATAACATTGATTGTAAATAAATGAATATAAACTTAAAATGTTCAGCTCTTATCATTAACATACACATTTAGCTATCATATCCCACAGGCTGAAGATAGATGTAGTTCTTTGGCATTGAACTCATGTGTAGTCAGACGAAGTGATACTAGTGATTTCTCGTGATTAACTCACTAGCAAAAGAAAGCAAAGCACTAAGATGATCAGTGAGGAAGCAGTCTTGGCACATTCACTAAAAGAAAAAGAGTAAAAATATGAACATAAACATTATTAATGCAATAGAACCAATCAGTTCTTTTTCACATTTAAAAAAATTAGAAGATAAAGGATAACAACTACAATGTAGTCAGATTAGTTATATTGGAGTTATATTGGAGGAAAAATAACTGATCATGTACGTCATCCTTAAACATGCTTTTTGTTACTAATATTAGTTAAATATACCAGTGTAAGTTTCCAGCCTTAGTTGTGGTCAGAATTAATGGCAAAAGTGATCAAAAAAAGCTGAAACCAGGACATATCTCGAAGGCCGGACATGTCCGGGAAAAAGAGGATGGTAACCCCTACTACTCAGCTATCTCCTACTACTCAGCTTTCTCCTACTAAGTTAACATACTCTCCGCAGAACAAGATCCTGCTAGCTTAGCTTCCAAAAAAAAAAAAAAAAAAGATGGCTGACACTGTACATTCTGTGAGTGAGATCCCACCCTCTATGGACGGGTTGAGAACATGCGGGACAGCCCCTACAACTGGCTGTAGTCTTTAGCCTCTTGCCAAAAAATCCTCAGATGACGCAAAATGAGATTTTGCATCATCTGAGGATTTTTTCCAGACAAAAAATACATAAATCTCTCGTCTCAGGGGGATTTGAGGGAGGAAAGCATGGTAATTCGAAAATACTACAGGCTTTCTACTAATACAAAGCTTAATGCTAAATCCTGAAGTATCCCTTTAAGAAGTTCCAATCAACTAAAGATGTTACGAATCTGCATGAAGAGGACATGTGTCTATTGTCTTAATGCACAGTTAGGAGGAAAGTGGCCAAAGACTCTCCAAGGATCACAGATGGAGAATTGCAGAGATTACTTGAGTCTTGGGGGTCAGAAAGCCTAAAAATATATATCAAACAACCCCTAAATCACCACATGTTGTTTGGGAGGGTTTCAAGAAAAATCTTCCTCACTCCTCCAAAAATAAACTCCAGCGTTTTCAGTTGACAGACATGACTGGAAGTTCAAAAAGGATGGGATTCTATGGTCAGATGAAACAAAAAAGGGGCTTTTTGGCAGCAAACCCACCAGATACGTTTGGTGCAAACATGGATAAAAAGTACCCCATGCCTACGGTTAAATATACTGCTGGATCTTTTATGTTGCGGGCCTTTTTTTTGCTGGAGGTCCTGGACATCTTGTTCAAATGCATGGTATTCTGCTAGAAATCTTATAATGGGCCGTGGTTGGATCTTCCATCAGGACAACGGTCCAAAACAAACATCAAAATCAACACAAAAATGAAGCTTCTGCCATGACCGTCCAAGTCCCATAAACTGAACCCAAGGAAATGAGTGGGGTGAACTGAAGAGAAGAAGCAGCAACATGAACTTATGAATCTGAAGGATCTGGAGAGATTCTGTATGGAGGAATGGTCTCTGATCTCTTTTCAGTTGTTCTCCAAACTCATCAGGCATTATAGAAGAAAACTCAGAGCTGTTATCTTTGCAAAAGAAGGTTGCAAAAAGTATTTAATAACAGGTAGCCAATAATTATGGCCAGTGTGTTTTGGAGAAAAGCATGTATTTCATAATGTGATTTACTCCCCACTTTCAATTCTTTGACTTCAATGAAAGGTTAGATTTTTGCAATTTTTTGAATGAAAAATCAAAAGGATAAACAATGCTGATTTATTTTTTACAGCCATTTTAGATAATATGTGCTAAATTTATTGTTGAGAGGAAAACCCCTTGAGATGTGACATTTCGTTTTCGAGGGGACCTCAAGAAAAACATACTTCACAAACATACATACATACAAAACAAAGACAAAAGCTCTCCATCGCACCAAAACCACCCATATATTCCCCAATCCAACCATTAGATATTAGGAAGTAAACAGTTAAGGTCATTCATAAAAAATTGAGAATAATAATAATAAAACCAAAAAAGAAAACACACACACACACACACACACATACATACATTTATATATATATATATATATATATATATATATATATATATATATATGTATGTATGTTTGTATGTATGTATATATATATATATACACACACATCAAGCATGAAGAAAACAGTTGCAGCTTATATGCAAATAATTAAGAAGAGACATCTTCTTAAACTGGTGAAAAGAGGAGATCGATCTAAAATACCTAAACCATTCCAATCAGAAGGGGCTTGGATGCCATTAATTCTGACCACTCAGTATACATGTTCTCTCCTAAATTTTGTTTTACATTTTAAAGTACTTCCAAAAAATATTTTACTTTTCTGTGCTTTGACTAAGGACACAACAGAGGTTCAAAGGATATTCACCTTGTAGCACATGGTCCCTGCTGGGCACTTGCATCAGGAGAAACATTAAAGTTCTTCACTGTCACTTTAGGGCAGGGTAGAGAGTGTTTCTGAAGAAGCCCTGAGATATCTGGATTGGAAAACAACATTTATAGACATGAGAAAGTGGGACACAATAGAAATATATCATAGCCGCCCAATTGTCATCCTTCTTATTATGTTCAGTTTGCTTTAAGTTAAACGTGTAGTCTGAGGTTACTCCAAAAAACCTACCTTGCATGGTGAGGAGAAATATGATGTCACCACCCTTGATAAACTCTCTTCTAGTCAGATAATCATTTGTTATGCGATATATATAAACCCAATCACCCACAAATACAGACTCATTGCCGATGACAACTTGACTTCCTTTGTTTCGAGGATTGTTCCAATCTGTTAAAAAATATTGCTAAATATTGTTAAAAAGACCATTCAAAGCTACACATAACAACTTTGATTCTCAACTTAGTTAAAATGTAGCATATAAACACATGATGTGAGAGAAAAATAATAGGACTCTCACTTGAAGATGCCAAAGCAGGGTCAGTGGTGATGCTATGTTCTAAGGACATGCGCTTCTGCATGTGTGGATTCTGGTCAAGCATCTGGAAGGTTATTTGTCTCCATGGACAAGGCCACTGCAACTGGTCATCATATGCACCAGATACCAGATGAATTTTCATGGCATGAAAATTCTGATTTACCTCTAATGCAGCCTGAAAGCGATAACCATCACTGGAGTAATACAATGGACTGTAATGTACTAAAGGTTTCCTTATTGAAAAGTCTTTTATCTGCCATATGTGGGGACACTCAGTCTCTGAAATATTGATATCATCCAGTGATAAGCCTCCACGGGAGTTTCCAGCTCCTTTACGGGCTTCAAATAGAACTTGGAAAGTTTTATTTGCATTCAGTGGCACATGGTGCAGTTTCCAGTAATTACCTGGGAGTTCTGCAAGAAATGAAACAGTAAATAAAAAAAATAAAAAAATTAGGAACATTTTAAAAGCATTGGCTGACTTTCCCCTGTATTACAGTACTTGAAGAAGAGACGGACCTCTGATCCGATCCATTAGTTTGAGAGTTCCTCTGTTGTCTGCTTTATTCTGGTACTCCCGGATCCAGATGTTGAGCTGGTCAGACTCATTACCACTGTGATAGTAGTAGAACTGCAGGCACTGGACTTTGCAGTCTCTTTTAGGGGTCATTGTCTTGCTCTCCATTATGGCTGTGTCCCCTTCCTTTCTCCCCTCAGTGCTGAAGTGCATGAAAAAAGACATCCCTGCAGACATGAAAACAGGTGAACAGTTGTGTAGAACTGGGTGGTAGAGTGACTGCAACTGTGGATGGTAGTGGCGCATTTCTTTTTGGGCGACTGAATGACTAAAAATAAATAAATAAATACGCGAATAAATGTAAAAAAAAAAACTAAAATAAATGACTATTTATACTTTTATTTCCCTACACTCTTAGAAAAAAGGGTTCTATATATGTAGCATAGGGTTCTTTACTCAACTCCAAATAACATTTTATGCTAAAAAAGGTTCTATAATGACAAGAAAGAACCCGTTTGGCACAAAGGTTCTTTATAGGCTATTATTCATTAATATATTACATTATTCTGCAATATTTTGTAGTTGTAATTAAATTATTGTTTATTAAACTTAATATCACATTTAATCATGCTGATTTTTGGAGGAGAAAATCTGAAATGACACTACATAAAATGATATAAATACAGTATATACATTTTCTAACCCCCATATCTTGAATTTTGATATAGACAATTTTTGGGGTTGCAAATACGTAGCGCTTTAGAACCTTTTAAGGTTCTATATAGAACCTTTTCTTCTAAGAGTGTATTTATGAATAATTATATATTTTCCCACATTTATTTATTCATTTATTTATTTCCATTTTTATTTATTTTCACTTTTATCAATGTATATTTGCATTTACGTCTACATTTATTTATTTATAAATGTATTTATTCATACATTTACATATTTATTAATTTATTGCTCTGTATGCTAATGATGGGGCGTGTTTTACCTCAGACATAACAATCGAGCTCAGAGTGGCAGTGCTGAAGCTTTGAGGCCACAGGGACACCTTGTGGTGTGACCAAACACTACGCAAGAGGTTTGCGGACGGTACTTTACATGTGTCCCAGGAAATAAATGACTTAGAGATGGGCAATATGGCCAAAATCTTATATCACGATTTATGTCCATTAACTTTACTTAGCTATTTAGGCCTATCATACATTGATAGGTCTACTCTTTATTCCGGACATGGCCGTAAAACATCAGCTGGTCTGGATTTCTAAAATGTCTGGGCACACATGAAATGAATCCACTGATAACAGACACTTTTACACGGAAGCGCGTCAAATTATCCACTATATCCACATTTTATGCTATGCATTAGATCCGTTTACAGAAGCTAACTGCATTTTTAATGTAGGCCTATCTTCCAAAAATTTCATTTTTAAAAACCTTATTAAATAGGCTGTATGTGTCATAATGTAGCCTAAGTTCTTAAGTTTAACTGGTCAATTTAGTTAATAAGGCACTAGGCTATTACCAGGCAAATAAAATCAATTTCAACACAATCTTCACACAGCAGATGTGCAGACGCTGACTCTGAATGGCATTCTATTACTTAAAAAGATGCAGAGGAGCCATGGGTGCATTTGCACTGCAATTACAATAGCATACATAATGTTATGTTAGTTTTTTTTTTTTATAACATTTTGAATATTGAAATATGAAATGATAAATTTATGAAATTATACGTTTAAATATGAAACTAAAACAGAATGCCAATTAAGCCACCGTCTTAACGAGTGAGTTCAATCAAATAATTCAGACGATTCGTTCAAATAGACTACAGCATTGCAAGAATAGCAAATAGCACTATAAGAATCAGTAGCCTATTTGAACAAATCGTCTCAATTAATAATATCTAATGCCATTCAGAGTCAGCGTCTGCACATCCCACATTTGCAGTGCGAAGATGGATTTTGTTGAAAATGATTTTATTTGCCTGGTAACAGCCCTATAGCAGTGCCTTATTAAGTAAATTGACCAGTTAAACTTATAGGCTTATAGGCTACTATGACGCATTTATAGCCTATTCAATAAGTTTTTTAAAGCTGCAGTCCGCATTGGTTACTTGGCTTTGTCGCCATCTCTGTTCGAAATCTGCAATTGCAGTCATTCGCGGTATTATCAACTTTACACGAGTTTGACACTGCACAGCGCGGATGAACAGATTGAGGAGAGCTGTCAATCACCACGCCGTTGTCGGTACTGGCATTCAGAATCACAGATTATTCTTTTTGGAAGTTCATTAACATATTCATTTTCACCATGGAAATGCCATCTGAACAAGTACCCAGATAGCAAACTGACATTGAATCAACGTGGAAACGACGTCTCTCATGACATTGAAACAACGTTGATTTTGCTCATCGAATTAACGTTGAACCAACGTCAGACGCGGCATTCTTCAAAGCTAAATGAAAATCGAAAATTGGTTTGCTTTCATAACGTTGAAACAACGCGTTGATTTCAAGTTGATTTTCCGTTAGTTTTGAAAGAATGACGCGTCTGACGTTGGTTCAACGTTAATTCGATGAGCAAAACAATGTCAGATCAACGTTGTTTCGATGTCATATTTCCACGTTGATTCAATGTCAGTTTGCTATCTGGGTAAGTAACATCCACTTTTGTTCTGGTTCTGACATTGCGCTGATTAAATCTAAAAATTGCTTATCATTCATCACATTGCAAATTAGACTTTGTTCTTAACTTGTTACAGTTAACAATGTCAGCATTGTGTGACTACATGTAATGTCCTTCTGATATGTATCCTTAGGCTTTTTTGAGATGAGCAAAAACTGCGCAGAACCGATCAACAGTGATCAGCGCGAGATGCATGCCGGTTAGAAATGTGTCCGAGATTGGTCTGCCTGGCTCTGATGTCATGCTGACGTACGTCAAAAAACTCTCGCGACCGCAAGGCGCACCTATGGAAGCTTGTTTCCGCCACTGAATAAAAAAATAAAGTAAATAATTGCGACTTTTTATCTCACAATTCTGACTTTTTTTCTCACAATTGCGAGATAAAAAGTCCGAATTGCGTGATATAAAGTCGCAATTGCGAGTTATAAAGTCAGAATTGCGAGATGTAAAGTCAGAATTGCGTGATATAAAGTCAGAATTGCGAGATATAAAGTCAGAATTGCGTGATATAAAGTCAGAATTGCGATATATAAAGTCAGAATTGCGTGATATAAAGTCAGAATTGCGAGATATGAAGTCAGAATTGCGTGATATAAAGTCAGAATTGCGAGATATGAAGTCAGAATTGCGAGTTATAAAGTCAGAATTGCGAGATATAAAGTCGCAATTGCGTGTTATAAAGTCAGAAATGCATGATATAAAGTCAGAATTGTGAGATTTAAACTATTCTGAGGGGGAAAAAAGTTAGTCTTTTTTTTCCCCTTAGAATTGGCCTAATAAGTCGCAATTGCGAGTTTATATCTCACAATTCTGAAAAAAGATGTCAGAATTTCGACATATAAACTCGCAATTATGTGTTATAAAGTCAGAATTGCGAGATGTAAACTCGCAATTGTGAGAAAAACGTCACACTTCTGTCTTTTTTTCTCAGAATTGCGACTTTATATCACGCAATTCTGACTTTATATCTCGCAATTCTAACTTTATATCTCGCAATTCTGACTTTATAACACACAATTCTGACTTTACAACTCGCAATTGCGACTTTATATCACGCAATTCTGAGAAATAAAGTCAGAATTGTGAGATATAAACTCGCAATTCTGAGAAAAAAAGTCAGAATTGTGAGATAAAAAGTCACAATTATTTATTATATTTTTTTATTCAGTGGCGGAAACAAGCTTCCATACGCACCTGTCGGATTCTGCAGTTGCGCGCAGTTGCTCTCCACCGACTGCGCTGATCAGAAGCACGATAGGAAACGACTTGCTGACGACACAGCTTAATGCTCATTGGTTTAAACAACCGTGATGTATTGTTCTCTTTTAAAATGTTTGATTTTAAAACTCTGATATCATGTTTTATGTGTATAAATTATATGTGGATATTCCCAAACTCTCTGACAGTGCGATCTATGTGATGTAATTTTTTTTTTTTTTTCTAAAAACACATATCTGTATTAAAGAAAAAAATATTGATAAACACGTAGGCCAATTTAAAATCGAATTAAATAAGTACTTTGGGTGTCTTGTTCATTATATTTATTTTCATATAAAAACAACAAAACTTCAATAGCATCCAATTTATTAGCAACACCGTGCACGGGCCTGAATTCCATGAATCCTGTGAAATCCGCCTTTGACACGTCAGATACACTGCGAAAAGAGAGATCTGTCCGGCTTGCCTGCGCTTTTTTCACTCCTCCTGCAGCCGCCAACTCTCGACTAAATTTCAGGCGAGGCAAGGCGCATCTCGAACAAGCCTGTTTTCGCATGTACACTCTAAAAAATGCTGGGTTGTTTTAACCCAATTTTGGGTCAAATATGGACAAACCCAAAATGCTGGGTTAAAAATGTAATGTAAAAATTTAACCCAACGGCTGGGTTAGTCCATATTTGACCCAAAGTTGGGTTAAAACAACCCAGCATTTTTTAGAGTGTACGGAGCCCCTAAAGGGACGTGGTGGTGGAAAAAAGTTCCCTCGCAAAACTTTTGGGTTCCCCAGAGAAACTTTGTGTTCCCTCGCAAAACTTTTGCATTCTCTCGCAAAGTTATTTGCATTCCCATGCAAAAGTTTTGCGTTCCCTTGCAAAGATATTTGCGTTCCCAGGCAAAACCTGTTGGCAGCTCGGACAGACACTTCCTGTTTAATGTCCCGCTGGCAGTGTTTCAGAGATCCGTACGTTAAAGGTAGTGTAGGTCAGAATTTTATAAAACCTTTTTCCAAATTTGTTTAAACTTTCTATATATATATCAATGCATAATTAAAATCTAAGTACTCTGAAAAAAAAAGAGTATAAAAATCGAGTGACTCTAGACCGTTTAATCTGCACTAAACACATCTCATTATTTCAAACCGGGGCGAAACAACGGATTGGCTTAGGCGACTGTCACTCTCTCGCAACCATGGCAACCACCCTTTTGCCACACTGGACCTGCCCACTTGCGCATGTCGTACCTGTTCGCATTGTCTCGTCTTGTCTCGGGAGTGTAGTCCTCATCAGAATCAACAATGCTTTCATCAAGCAAACTCTTACATGCACAACAACATATATATGTTATGAATCTAACACGAAATTCATCTTCATCACAGTGTAAATGATGGCAATGGAAAAACGTGTATCATGCAACCTGTTTTTAGCTTTGCCTTATAGATAACTAGCTCCTTAGCGAATCCATAAATATATATTGTAAACTTTACCAATATCAATATGCTAGCTTGATAGTGAGTAATAAAATACAATTTATTTGTTTATCTTCATAATGATAGTTAGATTTTTTTTATTTACATGCGTTTCTGACATGATGTCTGACATGATGTCACTACATGCACTCCTTCCTCTCCTCTCCGCTCGTCTCAGGTAAATAATGCGTCTTTAGTTCAGCTGTCGGAGTCGCGCGTTCATGTGTTTTGGGGGCGTGGCTTTGGAAGGAGCCCAGAAGGGAGGGGATGAAGTGAATGGAAATAATGAGCTGTCTTTAAAACAGTCGTGAGAGGCAGTGTTGTAGTCGAGACCACCTCACTCGAGTCCGAGTCCAGACCGAGACCAGAGAGAGTCGAGTCCGAGTCAAGACCGAGTCCATAGAGAGTCGAGTCCGAGTCGAGACCGAGACCAGTAAGGGTTGATTACCTAATTTACTTTTATTTACTTAGAGAAATCCTTTTTTTATTTTACTGAATTTACTTAGTGTTTAAAAAATGTGATCAGTTTAGGGTAAAAAGGCCACATAGTAGGTGGTGTTAAAAGTAATTTTATTACAATTTGTCATGCGCAGTTGTGCACTAGAAAATCAATCACTGGGCGTGTCAATCAATTTAAAGAAATATTTTATTAACATACATTGATAATCATGAAAAATATTTTGAATTGAACTCGGGAATAAGTCCGAGTCCTAAAAAAAAATGTTTTCGAGTACGAGTCAATTCCGAGTCCAAATGCACACGAGTCCATGACAAGACCAAGACCATTAAAATATGGTCTCGAGACCGAGTCCGAGTCCCGAGTACTACAACACTGGTGAGAGGTCAACAGACACTCGATTTTTATACTTTCTTTTTCAGAGTACTTGGATTTTAATTATGCATTGATATATATAGAAAGTTTAAAGATATTTGGAAAAAAAGTTTTTTTTTAAAAAATTCTGACCTACACTAGCTTTAATGGAGCGTTTCATAGTGTTTGAACTTGGACTCAAATATAAAGAAATGTGGTCAGTGCTTAAAGGGATACTTCACCTCTTGAAAGATGAACGTGTATTTAAAATAGGTCATTTATGTAGAAGAAATGTGAAATAATTTTTGAATTTGGGGAGCATTTTCTTGTCATTTAGTCATTTCTAGACTATTTCTATAAATAGTCATTTATTTTTTTTATTTGTTACATTTATTTGCATAATATTTATGTATTTATTTTACAGTTGTTATAGGTTTGGTCCTCCATTACTGACTGACTGACTAAAACGGATCTCACCATTTTGTTCTTTGCTCAAGTAGGTGTGGTCAGTCACATTGATGCCACTCACTGACTTCACTCTCTGCCAGCCATAAACGGAAGCAGAACAGACACTCATCTGACACAGAGATGCATCATCAAAACTGCAGTGGTCAAGGAAAGAGATGAAGGAATCTAATGCAAACAGACAAACACTGAGGTAAATTGATTATAATTTCCAATAATCCATTAATTGTCCTTATCTAGAAGAAGAAAAAACAGCTATAAAGGCCATAAATTAACCAAATAAATTAAAATACTCACTGCATTTATAGAGTTTGTTGAGCTCAATCGCATCATATTCACTGATGTCCAGGCGTTGACCAATCACATCTTGGAACTCAGGAAGCTTGGTGATGATCGTGGATCCATTACCGTTACTGAAGGCATTTTTATCATAATGCATCACAGAGTAATAGTCATATGGGGTGCCTTGGGTGGTGGTCACATTCTCACTGTATTTATTGAAATTATGCTCCTGCCCTGAAAATAAAGACTAGCAGTTATTTAGAATGGCTTTTTTTTTTTTACTATAAGTGCTTTTTAGTTTTTAGTGGAAAGTTCAACTTCAGGGTCAGTAAAGCAAATTAATAAAATTAGTATTTTCCAAAAAAAATATTACAGGGCAACCTCTAATGATGTGTTCAAAGTTGATTGTCACATAATCATCTCTGTCATATCTTGACTGCTCATGCCAAAATCCTAGTGCATGGAGAAACTCATGCTCGACAATGGCTTTTATTCCACAGCCATTACCAATGGAAAGATTCTGGCCTCCAGAAAAAATACGTCCAACAAATGACCAACACCTGCAAAATAAGTTATAAGTAAGAAATAACAGCACATTCACATAACACATAAGTGAATAAAGGAAATGTTGACATCACAACCAGTCAAATTATATAGTCCACTTTACAACAAAAATGTCATAAAAAATACAAAAAAAGATGTTATGTATTTAAGATTCTTTATATGCAAAGTAGCCTTAGATTACAGCTGTGGTCGTGGCAAATGAGGAGTTTATCAAATGTTTTATCAAAGTCAAGGGAGAAGCCCATAGACAGCCATAAAGTTGATCCTGCTGCTAGCTCGTGGACACGCCCATTTTTACCGAGGTGCAGTGCATCGTTGGTAACTTGTGTGAACTTGACGGCAGAAATATCCCAGCATTCAATTCGCCATTCGAGGCAGGTCAATGCAGCAATTCGTTTTTCTACAATTATGTACGCTATTTCATCAAATTTCATGTTTTATGGGAACTTTAGACATAATGATTTTTAAGCTGCACAAACTGGGTTATCCCCAAACTTAATGTAACCGTTATGGGAAGATCATCTATCTAATGTAAAGGACATATTTTATCAGAGTACAGTTCAGTCTATTTTTGTACTGTATTTATCAATGGGAAATCCATCATGCTAAAATAATCTGTAGGCCTACTGTGGCTCGCTTGCAAGGCGCAGCAGCACGAGTTGACCAGCAACATATTTCTGCTTCAAATATTGTGCGTAGTTAACAGTGAGTGATGGTTTCAGGCATTATTTTATTAGTGCATTTGTCAGTGCCGCATTTGTGACTCTTATTCTGCCTGGCAGAAAGAAAGCTCGTACTGAAGGCGGAGCGGTTTGACCAATCAGATGAAAGGGGCGTTTCAGCGCCGCCCACGTGTGCAAATGAAATATCAAATCCATAAACCGATTTGTAAACCACAAACAAAAAATAAAAAAGATCAAGCCAAAATCAAATTTTTCATTTTTTAAACAAAAAAAAAAAGAAAAGAAAAAACGAATAAACAAGCTGATTTTAAGGCAACTATCCATTGAAAAATGAATGTCTGGTTTCCATTGTGAAGCGTTACACAGCAGTCCGTTTTGGGCATAACGTGCAATAAGAGTCTCATATCACATTCCCTTTAAAAGCCATTTGCGCTCGCGCCATGGCGAATTCTCTATAAAGAAATTTGCATGCAGAAACTGAATGCTTCTCCGTTTAAGAGATTCAGAGGAGATCTGCTCGTTCGCAAGGTTAAAGCGAATAGTCTATGCCCTATGGACTAGGTGTACTAACTGAAAGCATACTTTACCCTTGAAGACTCTCCACAGAGATGTAAAAAGCTTCTGCTGCTCTGGGCTTAAAGTCAATACATGATTTCAGTCTGAACTGCTCAAAGGCTCTCAGAATGATTCCTTTATAGTTTATGCCTATAAACAGCAATCGAAAACATATGATGGATGGAAAACATACAACTTTGAATCAAAATACTTTTTGAAAGTTGATTTGGTAAACTGTAAGTGAGAAATCCATCATTTCTTACTGAGATTCACACTCAGCACATAGGGGACGGGAATATTCCACCGATTCCCAAGAATGGCACTCCTTTGCGGGGGCTTTAAAGCAGATTGTTTTAAGTATGCAGAGAATACTATATCGACTGATTTATAAATGATCCCATATTGCAGAATGTCTTGGAACAAAACTCACCTCCATGATGTCTCCTTCTCTGAGACTTAAACCTACAGTAATAAAAGAAGTAGCCTATTCAGGTTACAATAAATATACTTAAAATAAACAGGAGTGAATCATGATTTATAAACAAAGCAAAACAAAACAGAACAAAAAATGCATAGCCGAATACTAAGTTGCTTTTACAAATGCATTTTTAATCATTTATAAAAGAGTTTTACCTTTGTTTAAATCGGGAATATCGTTCCACTGCTCATTAATGCCTTTGAGAAAAATATGAAGACATACACAGCATTGTGTGCACTGAGTGCAAAACAAAACAGTTTTATTGAATCAGCCTAAAAAGTAAATCATATCATCGGGCAGTGGTGAGGAGTAAAAACAGGATCTTTTACCCTGCACACTTATTACAATAACGTTAAAACAGAGAAATGTCAGTGACTGTGTTGTACTCACCATCTGGTGGGGGCTGAGAACGAGATATGAAAACAAAATTCAGACATTAAGAAAAATAGATTTAAAAATTAACTCTACATACCCCCCTTTCAGTGACAATGTGCTGTAGAATAAGCTCTCAACTTACCATAGGTAATGCTGGCCCAAAAGCCAAAGCCAAACTCAGCAAAAGAAATGTGCATAAATGCATCTTTACTGAAATAATAATCTCATTTACATTTGTCATGTCATCAAAATATTAAAAATACACAAGAAACTTAAAACGGATGCAAACTGATTCGAGAGAACATAAAACTGCCACTTCCACCCAGATTGACAGGAAAATTGTATTATGTAGAAGCATATTTACATGTAAATATAGAAGCATATTTATAGTTCTGGTCTTCCACATAACAAGTTCCCAGAAAAATATATTTACATATCATACATTTACATATTTACACAACAGAATAAACTTTTTTTTTGTTTCCAACCTTCACTGAATGATCAAACACTTTCCATTAAAAAAGAACCATTTGTTCCATTTTTTTGAGCAAACAAGTACTCATTTAACATGAAGACATTAATTTAAGTGTTTAAAATAATTTTGATTATTGTGATACATATTCTAAATCCTTACAGTGGATGGCCCACATAAATCCTTCACCTTTTGTTTCAGGCCCCATGTAGGTCCCAGCTGTTTTACCTTTTGGGGCTACTATGAGGATTTACTGGGCAAACCCTTGTGACAACATTGCTGGCTTCATCTGTAGTCTTTGCAAATGAGGATGGGTTCACACTAGAGCCTGTAGTAAAGGTCTGGTCTGTAGTAAACTAAAAGTGTGTCTGAGGTTATTTTTAGGAAGGTTATCACAAAGTTTAGGAGCCAAAGTTTAACTTTAAGAATGATGGATTGTAGTGTGGTACAAGTTCTATAGTTTATGTACAGTGGAGCTATACAGTTTAGGATCATGCAAGTCAGTGCTTCTCAAAACTCTCCTGGAGGATTCCCAGAACTGCACATTTTGTATGTCTCCCTCATCAGCTCTGCAGACTGCAAGACCTGAATTTGGTGTGTCAGTTTAAGGGAGACATTCAAAATTTGCAGTGCTGGGAGTCCTCCAGGACAGGTTATGAAACCTCTGTTGTAAGTAAATAGCAACATTTTATTGTTGGTGCAGGATGTGCCGAAGAATATAGGCTACAGATGATACAATTGGGGTGATACGATCATATTTTCTAAGGACTCTAGCAGTTGTATTTTGAACTAGCTTGTTAATGGAGAAGGAAGGACACCACCAAGTAGTTTTGCATTACAATCATCCAGTCTTGACGTCATGAATGCATGAAATGAAAGCTTTAGTGTAAGTTCTGAGACTCAGTGTCTCATGTGTCACCTCACTTCTAACCAATCGTGTGCTAACACTCACAGTATAAAAGATTGGTACTTACATTTGTCTGAGTTCGCAGAGACTGACGGTGCCAATTACATCCATCCTCGCCAACCACCACCAAGATGGTATACCCTCCTTTACCTCCAGGTGGGTCGGCTGCGCCCCTGCCTTCATCTTCAGGCAGGACATGCAGATTCCGCTACCCTCGCATTGCTCACTAAGGACCGGGCCTACGACAAAGAACTTCATAAATTCATGCTTGCCTAGCCGTAAATAAATACAGTATATGCTTGTTGTATCATTATCTCCCGAGTCTTTCTGGTAACTAGTTTTTCTGTATTGGCAATATTTAAAATTGTTTCCTAGTCATAGTTTAATAGCTTGGCAATGTTTCTTAGGTGGAAGGAGGCTATAACATGCAAAATATGATTTTCAAAAGACAAGTTGCTGTCTGGCTATATAATGAGGTCTTTAACTTTGGAAGGTCTTGTAGGCCTACTTGTCTTTAGTCAAGTGAATAGTATCCCTTTTTATCAGATTTTAATAGAAACAAATTACTGGTCATCCAGTGTGTATTAGCCTATCTTTATATACTCTGTAATGATATTTTATTCGACAATTTTTTAGCAATGGAAACTAATCCCTATGCTTTCTAATGATATTTTCATGGGGCAGCAGGTTGTCACTTGGAGATCTCAGGAGCTAAACTATAGCACACTAAATGCAAGCAAGTACTTTCAAGAAGAATCTAAGGCTACATTCAGACTGTCAGTCCAAATCAGATTTTTGTGCATAGCCGACCGAAATTAGATCAGATTTAAGTTTATGTTTTTGCTGATCAATTTTAATGAGTGTGAATAAAAGTCTAAAATATATCTGTTAATCATATAAAACGATTGAGTCTCTTTTGGACCAAACCACTCAATATATATATCAGTTTTACAATCTCTTCATGAACTTTTTGAAGCATCAAAGTGGTAGTTACACAGTGTCAAAGTGGACAGAAATATCTCAGTTTTAAAATATCTTCATTTGTGTTCCAAAGTTAAACGAAAGATTTTGAGGTTTGGAGTGATATGAGGGTGAGGGTAATTTTTGAGCGTATGTATTAGTCAGGCTATAACATTTTCAGCTGACATTTACGCTTTATTAATACAGCCCTTTTACAAAAGGCACCATGGAACAAGAACAATTAATTTGAGGAACTAAACAAGAACTAAATTTCCCTTTTGCTCATTTCCATTTTCTGTTTCCACCTTGTATAAAGAAACATACTTTCAAGCATACTTTTCTGGCAAACAAAAACGAGGAAAAAACACTGGTTAATCATAGACACAATAAAATATGAAAATGTTACGGCATAAATTTGTGTCATTTGCTATTCATCTTTTTTTTAGAATGTACCTGATGTTAAAGTACTAAAATACAAAGACATGACAGCAGGGAGAAACACAGTGTTGCAGTATGTGAATTCTAGGACTCTTCACAGCACTGTGTAGTGTGGGGGTTTTCTAGTTACAGATTTCCCAATGACAGTTCTGCCAATTTCCATTAAATAACCTGACCAGAACAAAAGAGTTATAAATATTTATACTACACCAATATATTTTGGATTTGATGAACCTACTTTCGTGCCCCAAATGAGCCATGATTATCAGGAACTTTATCGGGATTAAAAAGAAGAACAGAATCAATATTTCACATACAGTAGGTAAATCAGTGTGATTAGTAAAATGGGCTTAATTTCACCAAAGCTATTTAAAATGATACCAAACATGAAAGGGAAAAACAAAAGATTCACAAGATGCATCAAATGTCTTATTGCCATTTTTTGTGAATTTTCAGTGACTTGAGTCAGGGTGAAAGGAGGGGAGGAGGAAGAGGGGGATGAATATATAAATGAGGTCCTGGGGTCCTATACTCTTTCTTTCAAATCTCTCCAGATTAATGAGCTTTATTGTTTTATTACAGGTTAGGATTCTCAAGTTCAGTCTTAGTGGAAATCCAGTCTTACAATATTTGCAGTGCTTTGACAACGCCTACAAAAAATAGATTCAAAATATCTTTTTAATATGCTATATTATCACCAAATATTGGATTCTATCTTTTTGTCAACTTGTTTTCTTTCAATTTCATATTCAATTTCTTTCAAAGGTTTTTATTTTGTTTTTGACAAGTGAACATCAATGTTTATATTCATGTCCTAAAGAGAAGTCCTCCTAAGGCAGCTACTGTAACAAAGTTATAGGTCTTTGGAGTCTGAGATATATGTGACTGACATTCAATAGAGCTCATAATAGTGAACTAATCCAATCATGAGAGTGTCAGCATCACTTCCTAATTATTTTATTTTTAAAAACTGTCTTTATTAGGATTATTTTATGTTTAAGTTTTAAATAAACAGAGAACATGCGTCCATCCTGGCAAGAGTAGTGGTCACAATCTCAACGTATTTGGGGGGATATATAAACTATAAACTGGTTTCCACAAAGAACCCATTTGAGGCACATGCTTCTGAAATGTTATGACCATGTTAAGAGTATAAAACCCCCACAATTGTTCACTTTTTAGACATGTTACTTTTGTGATTAGTAATTAATTGGTTATTAATTCTTAGTTCACAAGTAGTTCTCAATGAGGATATATTTCTTTAGTAACGATCAAATACCTACCAAGGAACTACCTTTGTACTAAATTACCTATTACTTACTGCTTAGTTAATATTGCTTCCATATTAGTTAATAGTATTAAGTTAGGTGTTAATGCAGTACTACCTATTACTTCCTGCATAGCTACTTGTTAACTACCGACCATTATTTTAAAGTGTTACCCAGGTATGTAACCCTGTTTCCCGTTCATCCGGCTTGCCTGCACGTCTCCTTCAGACAACAGTGGATGACATAGTCATCTGACAGTGCAAGACACAGATTGTTTAAGTCAAACTGCTTGTGTATTTGACAAATGAATGGTATTCAGATCAGATCTTTGATTTTACCCACAATATTATTAGACAAAAACATGTAATTTATGTTTTTGAAAAACCGGTATGCATTTCCTTAAATTCCTTGTAACATGAGTTCTACTTGCATGCATTTGTGGGTCATATAAGTCTGGTTTAAATTAAGATGTTTTACTTTTTAGTTATTTGTGGAAAATGAAACATACTGTAGGCTACATGAAACCTCATGAAAATATTACACTGTTTACAAAAAATAGCACAGTGTGTGACACAGATTGCATTTTTTTTTCTGTGCTCTGAATTCCTAAGGCTACAGTTAATGGTTTTTATGTGCAGAGGAAATCAGATATACAGTAAAAGTGTTGTAAGCGGACTCTGCCCCTCCACGTTGGCTGAATGACGAGAGAGGTGTGTCTGGTTTGGGGTTTAACAGAACGTGTATAATAATGCTGAATGAGCCACTTAGTGTAAACTACAGCTTGATGTGAAAACAACAACTCTCACATGCAAATCAAAGCTCAACACAAATGATCGTATCAAATGTCTCTAAAGTACTAATAACAGCATTTAAAGAATCTTTGGAAAACAATTATTAGTGTTATTATACTCAACAAAAGCACCATTGTCCTTGAGCAGACATATTGATCATATTTTTTTTTTAAACTATTGTCTTAAAGGCATAGTTTACCCCCAATATTAAAATCACAATAATAAATTATTATTTTGGGAGATTGTCAAATAAACATATCACATTAAGAAAATTACAACAGAAAATTAATAAATCCAAAACTTACTTAAGCTAGACAATGACTTTCTTCTAGAGCTGGTGTACAGCTGCATTAATTTTCTATTATCACTGTAAAGCTAAGATCTGTATTGTTAAAAGTGCTATATAAATGTGACTTGACTTGAGACTTGCAACAGCTTGCATGCAGTTGCCATTGATTAGAAACATTTTAAAAGCACTCTTTCAAGTCATGTTTTCTACAGAATGTATCATGGCAAAATGTATTCTTATTCTTAATTTTTATGTGATATAATCTTAATTTTATAGTGTAGAAAAAGTAAATTACAAAAAAAAAAAAAAAGTTTACAAAAAACAAACAAAAAAGGTCAACTTTATAGTGTTTTATTAAATATTCTAGTGTTAAATATTCTTTGTGTGCATTTTTAGTAATTGTTGGTTTGGTGTATTTGAGGGTTCATTGTTACAATTACACAAGAAAAGTTCAGTGACAGTTTTATTTGTGCATGGTAAATCAAATAATACTGATACTGACATAATGACATACATACTGGTAAATATGGAAAATTGAACTACATGGTTGCATAACAATTTATATTGGTGATATTAGGTGACATGTATTTGGGTATATGTGTACAGGTAGCAGGAGTTTAGATTAGATTACATAGCAATTTAACATTGCATATTCAATTTCACATAGTTACAGATAGTGAATAGGCTACTACAAATGATGGCCGTGAAAGAGACTGTGAACGCACTGAATAGGATATGTTTAGTTAGTTAAGCGCACCAGAATGAAATGTAATATTCAGAAGTAAACAGCGAAGCTGACTTACAGATTCAGTTAACATCCACAAATAAATGATGATTCAGGGAGCAGGCTATACACAGTGAACTATGAAAAACGCTACGCTTGAGCAAACAGTTTGTGAATAGGCTACTACAAATGATGGCCATGAATAAAATATAATATACAGAAGTAAACAGTGTAGCTGACTTAATGTTTAGCTAACAGAGTATTTATGTCAGATTGTTTATTTTTAAACCACAACCTTCTAAGTGCTTTACCGATATATTTACCGGTATATTTATATATCTTTTGCATTTCTAATCCAAACAACGTCAAACTTGGCACTATTACTCATGCCCTTAAGTTTGAAATCCATCGGACTAACGGTTCGAGAGATATGCGCGTAACAGACACACAGACAGACAGGCATTCCTGTAATTTATAGATAGATGAAATCAAAATGAAGAGAAACAGCATTTTCTACCCATTTGCTTATAGAAGTATGCTTATTTATTTGTGATATTCTACTAAATAAAGGTTAATCAATAATTGATAATCAGTGAATTATAATGACAAATAAACTGTAAATTAAAGAAAAAATATTCCTTTCAAAGACTTTCAATTATCCAAAGCTTACAAAAGAGATTCGAGTTAAATTCCCACTGAATACACCATGGCTTTGTCTAGAGTCAAGAGAAAGGTTGTCTAAGGCGATTTATTTGTAGATTCATTATCAGTAGGTTCAAAGCACAACATCGTGTTACAGCAGGTTGTGGGGGGAGTGACACTGACAGCATGGCACTGGATGCTGGACTTTGATTTTCTTCTGTAGATTATTTAACTGTGCACATACACACACACACATACATGTATATAAAGCCTCAGACTGTCTGGACTCACAGAGGGTTACTGGACTAAGCAATACCTGGGGGACTCAAAGGTAATTTAAGATTAACAACCTATCATAAATTACTAAAAGTGTCTGTAAAATACACTGTGCAAAAAAATATGAAATGTTTTAAACATAACATTTATTTCTTTACTACTTTTTAGCAAAAAGCTGTGAAGATGAAACTGTGTCTGATTCTTGCCTTTGTGGCATTCACAGGTAAATCATGTTGTTGTTTTTTTGTGACCAAGAAGCTGAAGCGCTTTACCTATTATCAACACATTATGTAATATTAGATAAAGCCTATATGTCAAGAATTCAAGACTTCCATTTAATGAAAAAGAATGGTCTTTGGTTACACTTTATTTCGATAGTCACTTTAGACATTCTACTAACTAACATTAGAGTATTAGTAGACTGTCAGCTGAATATCTGCTAACACTTTATTTTCTTGATCCCCCCAACAGACATTCGAATGACTGACTATAAGTAAACAAGCAACTACAAGTAAACTTGTTCTCCTAACCCAAAGCCTAACACCTAACCCTAATCTAACAGTCTACTACAGCCTAATACTCTAATGACAGTTAGTTGACATGTAGTTGAAAAGTTATAGTCAGTCGGTCGAATGTCTGTTGGGGGATCAAGAAAATAAAGTGTTAGCAGATATTCAGCTGACAGTCTACTAATACTCTTATGATAGTTAGTTGACATGTAGCGGCAAAGTTACTTATAGTTAGTTGAATGTCTAAAGTGGACTATCAAAATAAAGTGTTACCTAGTCTTTAACTTCAAGTTAAAATACCATACCAAAATAATGGGGGAAACGATAAAACAGAAATTAATTAAACAGGCAAATACAGACATGAACAAATACATAGACTGCAATATTTAGCTGTTTGAGTAGATTGAAAACTGTCTGGTGGTTTTGTAATTAATTGTATTTTTTTCCAGGTTGCCAAGCCAACCTGTTTTATGCTGATGAGCCCAAGCCACAGCTGGAGCAGCTGACTGATGCATTCTGGAGCTATGTTTCCCAGGCCACACGCACCGCAGAGGACACCCTGAAAATGATCAGAGAATCTCAACTGGGACAGGAAGTCAAGTAAGTAATGTCCATAAGTCTCAGTTTATATTTGCAATACTCAAATCTTGAACTGCATTAACATAAATGTACATTTCAACTTTTCTCATCTCAGTACTAGACTGACTCAGAGTGCCGATGTGGCCAGCGAATATGCCGTCACCCTCAAGAAACAGATGGATCCTCTGGCTGAAGAGCTGATGACCAGAATCACCAAAGAGACTGAAGTGTTGAGGGAGCGTTTGAGCCAGGACCTGACCACTGTGAGAGACCAGCTGGAGCCCTATGCCGACAACCTCAAGAGCCAGATCCAGCAGAGAGTGGAGGAGCTCAGGACCGCCATGACTCCATATGCCGAATCCCTGGATTCTGAGACCCTGAAAGCCACTCTGCTCCAGAAGAGTGAGGAGCTGAGAGGAAACCTGGAGCAGAGCGTGAAGGAGCTGCAGGCTCAGCTGGAGCCCTACACTGCTGAAATCAAGGAGAAGGTTGACCAGCGTCTGCAGGAGTTCCAGAAGACCGTGACCCCTCTGGCTGAGGATCTTCAGGCCCAGATTAGAGAGAGAGCCCAGATGGTCCAGCAGAGTCTCACACCCTACGCTGAAGACCTGAAGGAAAAGCTGGACCCCTACGCACAGGACCTGAAGGACCAGCTCACCTCCCTGTACGAGTCCTTCATCAAGAGAAATTAGATGCTTCAAAGACTTCTTTCTTTGTCACTAACAGAACTGTTTTTCCTTCCATGAGAATTGTGACACCAAAATCCCACATATCTCCCATAACCATGACCTAAATCATACTATTAGGCATCAACAAGATGTCTTCAGTTGATAGGCCAGACACTAATATATAGGATAAGTGATTTTTTAGCTAATATCCTGTTGTTTACATCTTAACCATTCATCTATATAGATGCAGAAATGTTGCTCTCTTTCAGTAAAAATGCTGTGTATTTATTTCAGTTTAGCAACTCTTTATTACCTCTGACAGAAAATGTGTTGCTTCTTGCAAATTTAGAAATGCCAAGTGTATCATTTGTCTTATTTATCAACAATAAAACACCTGCCATTATCAACAATGTTTTTAAATATTATGTCCAGTAACGTAGATCAGCATAGCTGAATTGTCATTCATAATATATATATATATAAAATATATATATATATATATTTCATCTAATTAATCAGAAAATGCTCAAGGCTAATATGACATATTTTTTAATAAAAAACTCCAGAAAAACAGGAGTTATAAATGGCCGTGTTATCTAGCCGTTTGAAGTGTGGCATTTGACACAATATGATACTCAGACAGATTAATACAAAATTTCCAAAATTCTGTACACTGTAAAAAAATATTTTCAAGATTTGTTATCACAACAATTTTTCTTTTGTCAAATCAACTTAAATGATTTATTTAGTTCAGATAACATATTATTTTGAGTTTTTGATGATTAAATCAATCTCTTTCATTGTATTAACTCACTTTTTCCGTTTGAATCAACTTAAAATTTTAAGGCAACAAGCTTACTTATTTTTTTAAGTTAAACCAACAATATATATATATATTTTTTTTTTTTTACAGTGGAGTGATTATTTAAATAAAGCTTCTCTCTCTCTCTCTCTCTCTCTCTCTCTCTCTCTCTCTCTCTCTCTCTCTCTCTCTCTCTCTCTCTCTCTCTCTCTCTCTCTCTCTCTCTCTCTCTCTCTCTCTCTCTCTCTCTCTCTCTCTCTCTCTCTCTCTCTCTCTCTCTCTCTCTCTCTCTCTCTATATATATATATATATATATATATATATACACACATGTATGGACATGCAGAAATGAGAAATGTCATAAAGATAGATAAAGTTGAGAACTTTCCAAATGGACCTTTTCCAGTATCTTCTAGCTGTAATAATGATAGATCATACATTATGTTAATGTCTGTACTCCATTATCAGTGCTGACGGAGTTAGCAACTCTTTGTCCTGTTCCTTTCAAATGACATCCAGATCTGCACATCTTGTCACACAGAGTGTGTAGTCACAACATATAGATGAAAACATCCACTGGGGATTAAAACACATCCCCATTACTATTTAAATACAGATATGACACAGTCACCACCACACTTGCTATTCACACTGGACAGTGTAAATTAAATCATACTGACAAAGGTAAGAAGATACATTTACTATACCAGTTTAAAAACTGTTTTATATAAAATGTTCTATATTATATTGAATTGTTTAAATGAAAAATGTGTTGTTATTTTACAGACTAAGCCCGGAAAAATATGAAGTCTCTTGTGATTCTTGCATTGGCTGTTTTTACAGGTTAGATTTATAACCATTGATATAAAGTACTGAAGAAAGAAGAAGAAAAAAAAAGGTTCTAAATTCCAAACAGGATATTAAATCATGTTCTACCAGACAAAAGTTTGGATACATTTTACATTTGTTTAAAACACTTTTGATCTAGGCTTGTGAATAGAAGCTTGACTATAGTTTTGAAGGAACATCCTACTTCTACACTGTTCGAAGAAGCTATTATAAGAAAACACATGTTAAAAATATGCTATTCCAGTAAGGCTTTCTCTCCTCTCTCTGTGCACAAATTGTAATTTTCTGTTTGCCTCAAAAATGACGTTTAAACCATCTGATATTTTCAATTCCCACAGCATGTTGCAAAACCAACATATCTAATGAAGACAAGCCAAATCCACATCTGGAACACTTAATAAATGCATTCTGGAACTATATTGCTCAAACAGTGCATACTACTAATGAAACTCCACAAATGATAAGGGCGACCCAACTGGGACAAGAAGTCAAGTAAGTCATATTTATCAGCATTATAATTATAAATATTTTCTGTTACCAAACATAAATTACACCTTTTCCCCTCCACATCCCCACACTAGACTAACACAGACTCCTCCATCTGAAGATATGATGACCAAAATCACAGAGGAGACTGAAGTGCTGAGGGAGCGTTTGGGCCAGGACCTGAACACCCTGAGAGACAAACTGAAGCCCTATGCCGACAACCTCAAGAGCCAGATCCAGCAGAGAGTGGAGGAGCTCAGGACCGCCATGACTCCATATGCAGAATCCCTGGATTCTGAGACCCTGAAGGCCACTCTGCTCCAGAAGAGTGAGGAGCTGAAAGGAAACCTGGAGCAGAGCGTGAAGGAGCTACAGGCTCAGCTGGAGCCCTACACAGCAGAAATCAAGGAGAATGTTGACCAAAATCTGCAGGAAATGAAAAAATCTTTTGCTGTATCAACCGAAGACCTCCAGTCCCAGATTTAATCTGCAAAGTTTTTTTTTTTGAGTTTTCATATTTTTGAAATATATTTCATAATATATTATTTCTAGCATTTGTCCTTCCTTGTTATTGCAAAAATAAAACATCTGCCATATTTTATTATTTGTTACTGATGTAAAAGATAAGTAGAAATGTGAAAATGTTCTACAATTGTTTCATTTGAGGCTTACCTTACACTTCAGGCTTGATTTTAAAAAATGCAGATGCACTCTTAGCACATCATAAATGTTTTACTTCTTGCAGGAAGTGATACGATCTTTTTTAATGTAAATGATTATATATATATATATATATATATATATATATACATACAGTATGATATAGATAGATAAAGAGTTAACTAACCCATACAGCGTCTCTAGTGGTTGTTCTATCTGGTGAGAAATGCATTATTCCACGCATCTCTCATTTAGGCCTACTTCGCATCAACTTTGGTGAAAATTAATTATATGATAAAGTGACAAAATATTTTCCTGTAGTTTAACCAGCCAAATATTTGTATTGAACAATTAAACTGCTTTCTGTTCTTTTATCCCTGGAGTTCATGACAGTTCCATGGGATACAGACTTAGTTTATGTGGAGTTTCCTTCTAAACACATTATAGTCCAGTCATTTTAAGCCAAATTGCAACAGAAGCAAACTCAACTGATTTTGTATCCTCAATATGTCCTGACTGAGTAAGGGAAAAAAAAGCTAAGAAGAATCCCATTGGGGGAAAGTTTAGAAAAAGACCCAAATATATCCCATTCATTTGCCTTATTCTTTCTCATATGAAAAGGGTAAACATTTTAACCTTTAGATATCATCATGAAAATCACTGAGTTGATGACTTACATCAAGACAAACAAAAAATGTATTACAAGTTTATTTTGCAATTGTTTGTTAACATGGACAAACGGTGCATAATATAATTACGTATTAGCTATATTTGCATAATTACCCAAACAGATCTAAACATTGGGTATAGCTTGTTTGAATCTTGTTGACATATAATAGTAAAAGATTTAACGTTAAAGTCTGAACCCATTTAGGCTACCCATGAATGTTAATCCAGGCAGAAGTATTGATAAATTATTAATATTACTACATTTTTTTGTTTGTCTTGATGTAAGTAATCAACTCAGTGATTTTCATGATGATATCTAAAGGTTAAAATGTGTATCCTTTTCACGTGAGAAAAATAACGAATAGGCGTATGAATGGGATATATTTGGGTCTTTTTCGAAACTTTCCCCTAATGGGATTCTTATTCGGGGCTTTTGTTTTTCCTTACTCAGGACATATTGAAGATACAAAATCAGTGGAGTTTGCTTCTGTTGCAATTTGTTCAACATTTTTTCATAAAATGACTGGACTATAAAGTGCAAATTATTATCATTGTTAATAAAGTTAGCACCTTGATTTAAAGCAAAATGTCACGAGTACAAATACTTAATACCAGCAGACACAAAATCAAGCGCCTTTGTGTGATGCGTCAGATCTTATCATAGTGTGCAAAACATTATCATTTATTGTTTTAAAGGTCGAATGTTCAAATTTGGGGCTCAGTCTGGTTTTAGTATAATATGGACCTTAAACAATTGGATTTTTTTCTGGATAACTCAGTTTAGGCTTTAAAATTTAACTAAATTAATATTTCCATTATGTATACTTTTCTTGTTTGATTTAGGAAGTAGGAGAATTCTAGTTAAACTTCCCTTTAATGAGATCTGTGCAATGTTAAGTGCTAGGCCATAGAAATATTTTATGTATTTTTATTTGGCACAATTAAAACTTCATCAAACAACATTTCACTGCTTTTAAAGACAAAGGTCCACTGTTACCATTATCTGAGCTGAATCTGAAAGTCTGAATGGTTGAAGGTACAGTCAGGGCATTATGATGTGGAGTAGTGACAGCAATGCACTACCCACTGGACTTTGGGTTTCCACTATGACAATCACCTCCCTATGCTCTATAAATACAGATGAGAAATTGCAACCTTCACACATTCAAACAGGACAGCGTCAATCAAAACACACAGACCCAGGTAAGAACTTTCACACTTTTTAGTAAATTCGAAATAGAGCACTATTTACATTTATGTGAAAGACAGAGACATTCATTAAAAGTATTTTTTGCTTATAGACTAAAACTGAACACCATGAAGGTTCTTGTGGTTCTTGCACTTGCTGTATTTACAGGTGAGAAATTCAGAGAAAATAACTATGAAAATGTTTTAAGGCTTGAACAATTTACAGAATCTATTAACAATACCATGTGATCAAACTGAAATGTTCCATCAACAGGTTGCCAGGCCAACCTATTCTCTGCTGATGAGCCCAAGCCACAGCTGGAGCAGCTGACTGATGCATTCTGGAGCTATGTTTCAAAGGCGACACAAACCGCAGAGGAAACCGTCAAGATGATCAGGTCTTCCCAACTGGGACAGGACGTCAAGTAAGTCAAGAATATTTACCTGCAGGACACTGTTATTAAGACTATTTTTTATGTCCTGATAAGAAACTCAAATGTCCTTCTCCATTTAACAGTGCTAGACTGACCCAGAGTGCCGATGTGGCCAGCGAATATGCCGTCACCCTCAAGAAACAGATGGATCCTCTGGCTGAAGAGCTGATGACCAGAATCACCAAAGAGACTGAAGTGTTGAGGGAGCGTTTGGGCCAGGACCTGATCACTGTGAGAGACCAGCTGGAGCCCTATGCCGACAACCTCAAGAGCCAGATCCAGCAGAGAGTGGAGGAGCTCAGGACCGCCATGACTCCATATGCAGAATCCCTGGATTCTGAGACCCTGAAGGCCACTCTGCTCCAGAAGAGTGAGGAGCTGAAAGGAAACCTGGAGCAGAGCGTGAAGGAGCTGCAGGCTCAGCTGGAGCCCTACACTGCTGAAATCAAGGAGAAGGTTGACCAGCGTCTGCAGGAGTTCCAGAAGACCGTGACCCCTCTGGCTGAGGATCTTCAGGCCCAGATTAGAGAGAGAGCCCAGATGGTCCAGCAGAGTCTCACACCCTACTCTGAAGACCTGAAGGAAAAGCTGGACCCCTACGCACAGGACCTGAAGGACCAGCTCACCTCCCTGTACGAGTCCTTCATCAAGAGAAATTAGATGCTTCAAAGACTTCTTTCTTTGTCACTAACAGAACTGTTTTTCCTTCCATGAGAATTGTGACTCCAAAATCTCACATCTCTCCCACAACCATGACCTAAATCATACTATTAGGCATCAACAAGATGTCTTCAGTTGATAGGCCAAACACTCATAAAGTGATTTATGAGTGTTTGGCCTAATAAAATGCTGCTGTTTGCATCTTAACCATTCATCTAGATGCAGAAATGTTGCTCTCTTTCAGTAAAAACTGCTGTGTATTTATTTCAGTTTAGTAAATCTTTATTACCTCTGACAGAAAATGTGTTGCTTCTGGCAAGTTTATAAATGCTAATTGTATAATTTGTCTTATTTATCAACAATAAAACACATGCCATTTTTAAACAATGTTTCTGAATATTATGTCCAGTAACGTAGATCAGCATAGCTGAATTATCATTCAAAAAAGACAAGTTTCTATAGCCCTCAGAAAATGCTCAAGGCCAATATGACATTTTTTTAATAAAATCACCAGACAAAACAGGATTTATAAATGGCCTTGTTATCTACACATAAGAAGTGGGGTATTTTACACTATATACAGACAGATTAATACAATAGTTCTAAAAGTCTGTAAGAGTGACGAAAGATTATTTAAATAAAGCAACTCTACATATGTGGACATGCAGAAATGATTAAGGTCATCTCAACTGATTCTTGAAACACATAATATTAAATAAGGTTGGGAACTTCCCAAAAAGAGTTTAATAATTACCTGCTTACACCCTTGATAATACCAGACTATGTGTTGTGGACCTTAGTGGTCATCTTGCACTGAATAAGAGTGCAAAATTATTCTAATAAAATACATTGCCCCAGTTTCACAGACATGGCTGAAGTCTCAGACTAAAATAAAGCAAAAAGCCCATGAAGCCGTGTTTTACAGTGAATTTGGAACAGCTAAAGGGCCTGGTTACTCCATAAATATATTAATCTTAAAGAGGTGGTTGATTGCGATTTCACCTTTTTCATTTTAAATAGTGTGTAATGCTGCTATTGGTGCATAAATAGTATCTGCAATGTAAGCAGAGATATCGTCTTTTAAAAATCAGAAAGTTTAATGCCTACGACCTGAATGGGACTACATGCCCTTACGAAACAAAAATATATTGCAGCATATTGGAAAATACCATGTGATATATTACGCAATATATTCACATATATAGGATTAAATATTTATATTGTCCAATACATTGCAATATATGCATTGTCCATATGTGTATATTCTGTATATTGATGCATATTGCAATCAAGACCAAAAAGGGCACTATATTTTTTATATGTAGGCTAGTTTGTCTTTTTAAAGTTTATCTTTATATACTGCAATATTTGTGCTATATATACACACATACATACATACATGCATACATAGGCTATATGTGATTTTATATGTTACTTTCCAAATAAACAACTATGTGGACATGCATGGCATAATATCTTTAATAATTTACAAATAATTACTCCAACTGCATTATACAAATAAGTTTTATTGAAACATATGCTTTTCCACAGTTTACAAAGGTCCTTGAAAGTTTGTATGTTATTTATTTATTCCTTATTATTTGTGCATTTTGTTTATAGATATTTTATTTATATTTCATAACAGCATGCTGAAAGTTTGAAATAGACATTGGTCATTGAAATTCATTTAATTTGTATTGAATAATTAATGATTAATTTGTTTCATATCTTTATCATTAATCTGCATTTATACATAAAACATATTAACTATTGGGAAGCTAAGCATAAGAATCAATATGAAACAATGCCAGTAAATTAATTTTGTGATGTTAGATCTTATTAGGATGTGCAGATCTTTCCTTTATTACTATTGTTGTTTTATTAGGTAAAATATTAAACTTGGGGCACTGTCTTTAGTACCTAAAATTGACTATAAATAATTGGATTTAATATCCTTAAACCAGATATTTTCTGGATATCTCTGTTTAGGGTTTAAGACTTTAATTATATAAAAGCTGCAGTCTGCAGTTTTTCCTCTTTGACGCCATATCTGTTCGAATTCTGCATTTGCAGTCATTTGCGGAATCATCAATTTTTTCTTGAGTTGAACTTCAACACCTTCGACACGGCACATTGAGAATGAACACAATGTTTGAGGAGACTGTGAGGCTGTCAGTCACAGTGCCGGTGTGGATACCGTCATTCAGAATCACCGATTATTCTTTTTGGAAGAATGACACATAAGAATTTTCACCAGAAAATGTCATCTGAACTAGAAAGAAACTGGTTCTGGTTCTGACATTGCAGTAAATGTCATACTACATAATGTCATACTCTGTGTAATGTTAAGTGCTAAGCCCAAAAAAAATATTTTATGTGTTTTCCTTTTAGCCCAATTAAAACATCAAAAAATGTATTATTGCTTAGACAAAGGTCCACTGTTACCATTATCTGTGCCGAATCTGAAAGTCTGTATGGTTGAAGGTACAGTCAGGGCATTATGATGTGGAGTAGTGACAATGCACTACCCACTGGACTTTGGGTTTCCACTATGACAATCACCTCCCTATGTTATATAAATACAGATGTGAAACCACAACCTTCACACTTGTTCTTCAGACAGGACAGCGTCAATCAAAACACACAGATACAGGTAAGAACTTTCGCACTTTTTAGTAAATTCGAAATAGAGCACTATTTGCATGTATGTAAAAGAGAGACATTCATTAAAACTGTTTTTTACTTATAGACTAAAACTGAACACCATGAAGGTTCTTGTGGTTCTTGCACTTGCTGTATTTACAGGTGAGAAATTCAGAGAAAATAACTATGAAAATGTTTTAAGGCTTGAACAATTTACAGAATCTATTAACAATACCATGTGATCAAACTGAAATGTTCCATCAACAGGTTGCCAGGCCAACCTATTCTCTGCTGATGAGCCCAAGCCACAGCTGGAGCAGCTGACTGATGCATTCTGGAGCTATGTGTCAAAGGCAACACAAACCGCAGAGGAAACCGTCAAGATGATCAGGTCTTCCCAACTGGGACAGGACGTCAAGTAAGTCAAGAATATTTACCTGCAGGACACTGTTATTTAGACTATTTCTTATGCCCGATAAGAAACTCAAATGTCCTTCTCCATTTAACAGTGCTAGACTGACTCAGAGTGCCGATGTGGCCAGCGAATATGCCGTCACCCTCAAGAAACAGATGGATCCTCTGGCTGAAGAGCTGATGACCAGAATCACCAAAGAGACTGAAGTGTTGAGGGAGCGTTTGGGCCAGGACCTGATCACTGTGAGAGACCAGCTGGAGCCCTATGCCGACAACCTCAAGAGCCAGATCCAGCAGAGAGTGGAGGAGCTCAGGACCGCCATGACTCCATATGCCGAATCCCTGGATTCTGAGACCCTGAAGGCCACTCTGCTCCAGAAGAGTGAGGAGCTGAGAGGAAACCTGGAGCAGAGCGTGAAGGAGCTGCAGGCTCAGCTGGAGCCCTACACTGCTGAAATCAAGGAGAAGGTTGACCAGCGTCTGCAGGAGTTCCAGAAGACCGTGACCCCTCTGGCTGAGGATCTTCAGGCCCAGATTAGAGAGAGAGCCCAGATGGTCCAGCAGAGTCTCACACCCTACTCTGAAGACCTGAAGGAAAAGCTGGACCCCTACGCACAGGACCTGAAGGACCAGCTCACCTCCCTGTACGAGTCCTTCATTAAGAGAAATTAGATGTTTCAAAGACTTCTTTGTTCTTAACAGAACCACAGAATTACTCTATTTGACATATTTGATCTGTGTTTTTCTCCATTTATTCAACCTACCATGCCTTACACTAAAGCCAAAAAAAGTTTGATATACAGTCTAATAAATTACATTTTGCAAAATCAGATGTCATTCACATTTGCAAATTCTCTTTTTTTTTGTTTAACAGTGAATATTTATTTAGAATAAATACTAAACTTATTATTTCTGAGAAAAATTTGTGTGATGTTTCTGTTTCTTGTAAGTTTACAAATGCTCCATTTCCATTTTATTTCTGTGCTTAAATACAATCAAACACAATTTCAGATATTTTTACTGTATAACTTTGAAATCATGGACCCATGAAGTTGACATAGTACAGTTAGAAGAGCCATTGCATTGTTGGCTCAATTGGGGGATCTATATCTCAGCTGTGTTTGAGGGGGCGTTAAAGTTGCTCTGGGGCTTTATACCCATTGTGCTTGACTGCCACCCTGCACAAGATTAGACATTTTTACTGTTGCATTTTGAAGTTATGCACCAATGAAGTTGACAGAGAATGCAGTTATAGGAGAAGTTGCATTTTTGATTTCAATTGCATTTTCTGCCCATTTTGCGGCTCTGTTTCATGGCCGACTCAGAGGGTGCGTTAAAATGGACATGAGCACATTATAGTAGAGCTACTCCTCTAACGAAATGCAAATTTTGAGAAATTATTACTGTGGAATTTTTTTTTTTATGAAACTTTACACAATGCACAATAAGCCACCCATTGCATTTTCTGTCCACTGTTTCATGGCCGCCTCAGAGGGTGCCTTAAATTGGACATTGCTTCTTTATAGGAGAGGTACTCCAACAATGAAATACACATTTTGAGCAGTTTTTACTGTATAATATTTTTTTAATGAAAATTTGAAATTTGCATTTTATAGTGCACAGTAAGCTGCCTAATGCATGTTCTGCCCATTTGGCAGCGCTGTTTCTCGGCCAACTCAGAAGGTGCGTTAAATTTGACATTGTCCCATTACAGTAGAGCCACTACTCTAATGACATCCAAATTTTGACCAGTTTTTAGAGTTTGTTTTTATGAATTTTTCAATTTTGCTTTTTTGACAGTGCACAATTAGCTGCCTAATACATTTTCTGCCCATTTTGTGGCGCTGTTTCTTGGCTGCCTAAGAGGGTGTGTTAAATTGGACATTTATAGGACCTATTATAGGACAGCTGTTCCTCTACATTCATTTGTATAATGCTTTTCACAATACATTAAAAGCATCGACAATCCATCTGGACAGGCTTTGTTTCGAGGCGGTGAGACCCTTGGTGCGCCCACCAAACGAAACGAAAAGCTGCTCCGAGTGCCTGAGAGGAGCAAAGCGCGCAGTGTAAACCCTCAGCGCCCTGACTGGGCAGAGAAGATTAACATTGCTCTCGCTATCAGATGATGGCAGAGAAATGACCCGTGCAATGAAAGGAGTCCCAATCACTTTAGGGACGTCTAGGTTTGAGGATGAATTTCGAGTCTTTTGTGGTGCGGCAGTGGCTCAGTGGTTCATGTGGGTTGTCTACAAACCCGAAAGGTTGGTGGTTCAATCCTCGATTCAACCGGACCAAGTGTCGAGGTGTCCATGAGCAGAACACCTAACCCCAGCTGCTCCCGACGAGCTGGATGGCGCCTTGTATGGCTGACACCGCCGTTGGTGTATGAATGAATGTGTGAATGGGTGAATGTGAGGCATTATGTAAAATGCTTTGGTGCCCATTAGGTCTATGAAAGCGCTATCCATTTACCATTTACAAGCGTTCAGCCTAAGCGGGCTGAACCCAGCGTTGAACCCAGCATCCCTGAAATCTCTTCAGGGGGATGCTGCTGCCCTTCTGGAAAGAGCGCGAGGGCTGTGTCGATAAACGAGCCGCCATGGCCACAGAGTTCAGTTCGATTCCTAGAAAGGAAATTGACTGACTGGGTAGTAATGGTCCAGTTGACCGTGAGACCCAAGCTTTCCATGTGACTGAGGAGCACAGTTATGCGAGATAGCAGTTCTGACTCTGACTGTGCCAAAATCAGCCATCAAGAGAGATAAAGCAGTGTCTTGGGCAAACGTGCACAAGGATTTTCCTGGTCGTAAGCAATTTGAACAGTCTTTTTATAAGCACTTTGTTCAAATGTCTCAGATCAAAGATAGGCCTGAGGGCACCGTCCTTCTTGGGCACGAGAAAATAACGGCTGTAAAAGCCTGACTCGCTGAGAGAAGGCCATACCAGTTCTATAGCCCCTTTGCACAGCATCCTTTTGCTTCATTTATTCCCAAGAAACTGTGCATTATTGCAAAAATGCAAATAAACATCAAGCCATAGATTTCCATATTTCCATAGACAGTATAAGAAGTGGACAGAGCGATCTCATTGGAACTGCATTGAGACAAGTGAAGCCCGTTTTTGGCGATTTTTTAGCACTTCCGTCCCTGACGCGCAGACTCAAACAGAGCTAGACGACGTAGATGTGACGGGAGCAACCCGTCTGTCTTCTAGTGCTGTGGCATAAGAAATCTGAATAATTCCCTTCCGAAACTTGCAGAGGCGGAGAGTTTGAGTAGGAGCTGTCCATGAGCGAGGAGCAGGAGAAACTTTTGCTAGGTATTCTGATTAATTATTTTGTCATTTTGCCTCCACGTTTCCCCGATTGCCCGCGAGCTTCTTCTCCTGTCCATACGGTAATCTCTCTACTGTGCGACAGAGAGTCCCTTGGTTATGACACAATGGTAGCCTACTTTCACTAAAACTGCTTCTACGGGGCCATAACATACGTTACAAGGTAGTAAGTGGAGCATTTTATACATTGTCGTGTTTCTTTTGAAATAAATAAAGGACAAATGGGGTCTTCAAACGCCTCAGATCGCTGTCAAAATGAATGGGAGTCAATGGGAATGTTAATGCAAGTGAAGTTCTGCTACAAGATGGCAGCTCCTGCGAGGCTTTAACTTCCGGTCGATGGATTACCCCCTTGGCTATTTTTCTCGGTCTCATAATGGATAGCATTTCCTCCCAAGATGGCAGATCCCTCCCACAATGCACCACGGAGTTATACGCGTGATGTCACATTCCCATTAGTTACTGTTAGTCTAAACGCCAAGTAGGCTAACAGTTATAATGGAGACCTAGCTAGCAAAAATGGTTAACTATTGTGTTTGTGCAGGATGTACGAATACATCAAAAATGGGGAGAGGCTCCACAAGTTCTCCAATGACAAACGACTGATTCGTGCCCGTAAGTGTTGGCACACCGAGGTAGATCTCGGGTATGCAAGCGCAACCCTACACGAGCATGTCCAAGCCCAGCCCGACACATTAACTGTAATTATGAGCCCGAACCCAATTTAACCTGACCATTTTCCATTTTTTAATACCTGGGTCATTATTATAACTGACGTTCTCAACTACTTTCTATGTCACTTTCTCCCGCCCACAACATTTGTTTTGTCCTGCTCCTGCCCGCAAAATATTTTTTTGTACCTCTAAATACTTTCAAGTTAGCCTACATGTCGCCACAATACACATCAGCATAATGCTCCTGATAAATTATTTGTTACTAAAGCATTAACACACAAACCACACATAATTAACACACACTCCAACATAAAAACTAGCAGGCTAAATTACAGTCATGCATGGTTTGGCATGACTGCGCAAAGTGCGCTCCCATAATAATTCCTAAAAAGCTGACATCAGTTCATCGCGATCTCACACATCTCTGTTATTATCAACAAATCTTTAATATCTACACTTTGTTATACAGTAATTAGGATTTGCCAGCATACAGAATTAATCACTGAACAAAAAGTCAGTTTTACGCGGTGAGGGAAGTCTACAAATATAAACTCTGGCCTTTAAATCGTTTCTATTTTGTTTTAGTTGTTCTTGCTTTTCTGCAACAGATGAATTAAAATGTATTAGTTTTTATGTTTTATTCATAGATATTTCTAGTTAACACAGTCTCATCCCAAAAAGTCATATAACTGACGTCTTGGGACGTCTTTTGACCATACGTCAATATCCGCCTTTTTAGGGCCCCCTTAAACGTCGGTAGATGGCGATCCCGGGCCGTCATACAACTGACGCTTTACCTTTAACGTCAGTTAGGTGACGGGTTAGGTTTAGGGTTAGGTTTAGGTCTGGGGTAGAGTTAGGATCCCATAACCTCATCTACCGACGTTTAAGGGGGCCCTAAAAAGGCGAATATTGACGTATGGTCAAAAGACGTCCCAAAACGTCAGTTATATGACGTCTTGGGATGAGACCGGGTTGTTCTAGTTTGCGGGAGTCCAGCCAATCGTTTTATTCTCCCTCAAACCCGAACACACAGAGTGAGTGCCAGTTACTGTGCAGTTACTGTAAAAACATGCTACCTTTGAAAAAAAAAAAACAATAAATGATATTTTACATATTGAGCACTTTAAAGCATTTAGCATGTTTTGCGATTATTCGTTTTTTTCCCACTGTTTTGCTGAGATGAGTAAATCAACATTTCATTGTTCAAATCCCTGGTTTTATGGATGTTCAAACTAGTTTGTATACTGTCACACACAGTCTCTTCACATTTGCATAGGTAAATTATATGAGCAATGAGCATAATACATTCAACTTCCATCTAGTTTTTAACTTCTGAGTTTACAAGTATTATGGCTTATTTAAGGCCAACTCATAATCATTGTTGTCTTAGTGAAACAGATTTAAGGTCTATCATTTAGCCAAAGGAAAATTAAACTTCACTCACAGATTATCCCTGAAATTCATCAGAGTCAACTTTTAGGAGTTAAAATGCTATTTAACTTACTCAAATAGCATTGACAAATGTTAACTTGACCTTTTAAATCAATTTGTTTGAACTCTCTTGTACCTTAAAAAAAAGCAAGTTTCCATAGTCTGCATTTTTAAATGATAGGAAGATCATACATCCTTCAGCAGCAATAAATTGGTTCTAGGTCAAACAGCCCCCCTTATCTATAGGTGTTTAGCAGGATGTGTAACCTGGACAGAGTGTTATGCGTATAGTCCCTGATTCTGATAACAACTCCTCCTAAGAATCACTTGAGGTCAGTTTATATCTGATGGGTTCATTAAAATGAACTGAAAGGACTTACTGC